TTTCACTGTTAACAATGAAAGGTTTTCTGACCATGAAGCACTGTTTTTATGCAGAAAATACAGAAACTCTAAGAAACTTAAACTTTTTTAATGTAATGAATTTATTCTTGCTAAGATAATAAAAATGCACTACTATAATATTTATAAGCTTTACTAAATTCAGTGCAATTCAAAAATACTTTATTGATCCCAGATGGAAATTAATTGTATTAGGATATACAGGGGTACTGGTAGCAGGTAGGCTAAATAACAGAAATAGGCCTATTTGGTGATTCGTGAATGTAAATTATAATCAATAAATATCAAGAGTGGACTTGGACTCAATCTTAGGAATAAACTACAGCTTAACTGATTAAAAACAACTCAATAATAGATTAAATGCTAAAAGTGATCACTAACATCAGCTATGATATGTGACTATAGCAGCAAGCTAACTTTTCATAAGAAAAAACAGCAGTCCTGTGGACTTATTTCTGGTTCTTTGTAAAAAAAAAATAAAATTTGATGAAAAGTTGGGTGTTCTGATAATGAGACTGACATTACCTGCTGCAGCTCCAGGAGCACGGAGAATTCATCACCACGTTATGCTAAAAGGGCTAAAAGTTGGGGGGGGTATTGGACTCCGGGACATGCAGCAGCTCTGACGAGGCACATTGACCACACCAAATTGTTTATTTAAATTCTCCTTTTCTCCTTTATAAGTTTCTTTTATTCTCTAAACACAATCGAGCTTTTATTTTGGTACTTCTGGTTACAGGCAGTGAACTGTTTAGTTTCACCTGGAGATGGGAATTCCAGCATTTTTAATTGAACCGGTTCTTTTGATTGGCTCAAGTGACTCCTCAGATATTTTTCTTTTGTTGCACAACTTATTACCAAAGAATGTGTAAGACAAATTACTAATGTAAAAACATACTTCACATCAAATGCTTATTAATGTAGCACAGCAAAAAAGAAGCAATAGCTCAATAAATAAATAATTAAAAAATGGAGCACTGAAAAACGATAACGAATATAATAAKAAGAAGAAAACAACAGCTAACATTTCAGCAGTTCTGAAGGCGTATTGCAGAAATGTTAGCAGTTGGTTCCTCATTCCTCTAACACTTACTCAGGTGCTCCTGCATTTGGAAGCTGTTGCTGTTTTTTTTTTTGCTGTGCCACAATTTGCCATTGCATGCCTGAGCACACCCTTGTTTGGCGAGATTGAGTGAACTTGCTTCTCTTCGCTTGTATTTATTTATATGGCTTTATGTACTCAACATAAAACAGAGTGTTACAAAAATAAATGTAGAAAATACAACTAAAAGCAAAGACAAAATTGTATCTCATTGTGCATATCATTTTAAAATTTGCACAGTGAAACAAGATGACAACTAAACACTCAACAAAATATGCTGTGCTGCTGAGTGCTCACTGCATTGTCTCTGTAGCCCCTACCGGACCCTCCCTTCAGTGTAGACAAGCTGTGTCTCTTACAATTTGGTATATTGACTAGACCCGCTGCTTCAGAAGATTGAACACTGTGGTACGAGTGTGACACCATATTAAAAATTGCAGCTTGTGAATATTAATTTATCAGGGCCAGAGTTCTGCTTAGAATTGCACATAAATAATAATTTTTCAGTGGTTAGCTTCTGCCTGTTAGAAACATATTGCATTGCAGACATGTGTACCACAGCATCATGTTTTTACCTGATGTATTATGTACTGACAAGCATTTCTATCAAATCATTGTCAATAGTACACTGAGTTTCATTGATGTGCTGACCTAAATWCAACATGTCATGGTTACCATGGTTAAAACATTCRGCTTAAACAGCCAACAGTACTGTCGAGTTGTTCCACGTCCCGCTATCTTCGACTGTGAAAAGACATGTGACAGCGCCTTTATTCAATATAACTCTCTGGCTTCTCACCTTTGGATTGGGACACAGCAACTTGCTGCCATAAATCTTGACCAATCATGTGGCTTTCACAAAAAAAATGCTCATGATTAGAAGCCAGCTCCCATCATTCACTTAAAAAAAAGGATTGTCTGCCAACAACCCATTACTAGTTTCAGTGACAGTTTTGATTTTAACAATTTGCATTTGGATTTAACATTTAGCTTTAACATTTTTGATTTAGCTATTTAAATGTGCCAAAAGTGTCACTTTAGAAAATCTACACAGGTTTTTAAAACACTATTTGAAGCTAAGTGTGATAAACTTTCACTGTTGTCTTTAGCAAAGGCTGCTTTCCAAACAGCGCCCCATACCAGTCTGGATATGTTGGCATTTTGTCACCCCAGATGCATTCAGGGGCAAATGTTTCTGTGGAGCAGAGCTCTGCATGACTTAGAGATGAAACCTTATTTATCTCCCTCCAGGATTTCATGCTCAGCTTCCTACCTGACAGTGCTTGTGATTCTGTGACTAAAAATCAAGTTTTAGTGCCTGTGTTGTGACTTTTGCTTAACCCCC